TTCTATACAATTACTTTCTCATTTCTCTGCACAGGACAGCAATTGTAAATAGATGTAGTACTGTACAGAGGACTTATTGTTTATGCTTGGTGGTGTTTAGTTTTAAATTAAGCCATCTACAGAGTATATAATAATAATGAAATTAAATGCATGAAATTAATAATAATAATGATACTGTAGCTATAACAATTTTGATAGCTATAGCAATATTGAAAAAATAATAATGATAACTATATGTAAATACCTCGGTTGCTGCTTTTACAGCAGGAATAAACTTATTAAATAATATCAACCTTATTATTGGGTGAAAGTGTACACAAAAATAGAGACAAAATAGGGTAAATTTATTGACTGTTTAAATCATTAAATGGGATCCTTTCACATGTACATACATATAACTGCCTGTCTATATGATATTCTAACAAGTGAGGCTATACATAATTACTGTGAGTTGCTAGCAGTTTCTTTTTTTATGTGTCATTGTGTTTTTACTTTTCTTTGTCATCTCCTTTATCCTTCTCTGGAACATCTTCCAATTTCCCATCAAAATCTTCATCCATTTCAATACCTTTATCGTCTCCTTTTCTTCCTTCCTCATTCTGTGATTGATCAGTGCCATCCCCACCAGTTTCCTAACAAGGAAAAAGTAGTACTTTGAATACAGGAATTAGCTACAGTAACTGAACTTGTGTAAGCTAGTTATTTGTGCATAATAATGTGCATGCTCATACTAATGCATATAATTAAAATGACCAAAAGTATCCACTTTAGGTGCTAAATTTAAGATGCTAGATGGTACTGTTATGCTATCTACTTTTGATAGCCACACTGCTTTCACTCACCAGATTATTTCTGTCAATATTCTCACTGACATCATTAGCTCCTTCTCCTTCATCAAAACCACCAGCTTCTTGATCGACGAATTCTTCTCCTCCTTTAGTATCCTCCATTAGTTCAGGGGGCACACAAAAACCCTGCAAAACACAATTTAACGATAAATGCTAACAATTAAAAATTAGCAATAATAATAAGGTATTATACTATTAACATAAACATTGAAAATTAAATATTTTTACATTCAAGATTGATTGATAAACTATGTGTACATAGGCCATTAATGTTGTAGTTTCTAAAACTTTTGATGCATAAACAATAATCAACTCTACATGTAATCTCACACTATCACAAATAATACCTTTATCAATACATTGGTGTATATCTCTAATAGACAAGAGGTCATCTTTGATAGGGTCCTATGTACCAATGCATGTTCATAACAAACTCTTTCAAGTAAGGAGTGATACTTCTCCATAAATGGAATTAAAACTTCACTACTGCATGGAGCAGAACCACTTTCAAGTATTGTAATCAAACAGTTTATAACCTGAAAATTGATATAAGAAAACATGTCCTTAATAATATTATGTATACTCAGTATTAATATAATTGATATGTGTAATAATAATAATAATAATGATACAGAGTTCATTTGAATTAAAAAGAGAAAAACATGATTTTAAAATGGAGATTAAACATGACTACATGTACATGTATTATTATGTGTAACAAATTACAAAACTAACTTCGTTGGTATTGATTTCTTTTAAATTACTTAAGGAGAAATCACAAAGGAATTTATAAACAGGAAGCCCATCCTCATCCTCTTCACTTTTTCCCTTCATAACTTTCTCTTTTTCCATCACATGCTGAACACCAAGCAATAAAGGCTTGAGCATTGACTCGTAATCACATGTGACTGGAACAATCTGATTGGTCGATCCTACAACGTCAGCAGTCCAAGTACTAAATCCCTGGCATTTCAGTGAAATTTTGCTTTGTAGGTGTTTCATAAAACACAAAGAATCAAAGCTAAAAAATAAAAATAGATGATCGCTCAATTATCATTATGTTAATTACCATTCATTACATGTATACATTTAAAGGTTTACCTGTCATTATGTTTTCCTAGTATAGCATTCAAGTACTGGTTGACTGGGTCAGATACAAACTCTTGCAGTAGTGTGTATCCATTAGTGAGGAATAAGAGCTCATTTCTAGATAGAAAAATTAAAATAAATTATCAAAAATCTTCACCCAAGGCCATGCTTGTTGATCAGCTTAACCAGCCACACCCATGATAATGTATACTTAATAATTTTAAAACTAACCTTGTGATAAAATATAACTCATTTCTCTTCATACTCTTAGTGTACTCAATTGCAGTTTGGAGCTTATCCTCTAACACTTTGCTCCATTCTGAGAGCTTCTCTCCTTCCTTCTTCATAATAGAAGGCTCAGTCAATAGAGGAGGGAGGGATGAGGGAGGTAGAGGAATAAGAGAGACATCAATAACGTCTGGAATCATCTCAGATATCTCTTGACAGGCACTGATTCCTTCAATGCATTGTTGCAAGCAATCACAGAGACAAATCTATTGGAAATAATTAAACATAAGATAGCATTAAAATGCAAACATTGAGATGTAAGAACTTTAGTACATAGCATAAGCATTATGGTTAAAAATTATGCCAAAATCCTGTACTATAGTCCATGCTTTTTTCTGAAAAATGGCTAAAAAATGACCCTCAATTTTTATCAAATTTTCTAATACATATTGATGTCCTTATGCTATGTAGAAAGTTTGAGCTGATTCCGACTTAAATTTTTTAAGTTATAGCCATTTTTAAGAATATGCCAAAATCTGAAAATTACCCTGTACTATAGCCCATGCTTTTTCCTGAAAAATGGCTAAAAAATCATCCCCAATTTTTATTACATTTTCTGATACATATTGATGTCCTTATGCTATGTAGAAAGTTTGAGCTGATTCAAACTTAAATTGTTCAAGTTATGGCCATTTGTAAGAATATGTCAAAATCTGAAAATTACCCTGTACTATAGTCCATGCTTTTTTCTGAAAAATGGCTAAAAAATGACCCTCAATTTTTATTACATTTTCTGATACATATTGATGTCCTTATGCTATGTAGAAAGCTTGAGCTGATTCCGACTTAAATTTTTCAAGTTATAGCCATTTTTAAGAATATGCCAAAATCTGAAAATTACCCTGTACTATAGCCCATGCTTTTTCCTGAAAAATGGCTAAAAAATCATCCCCAATTTTTATTACATTTTCTGATACATATTGATGTCCTTATGCTATGTAGAAAGTTTGAGCTGATTCAAACTTAAATTGTTCAAGTTATGGCCATTTGTAAGAATATGTCAAAATCTGAAAATTACCCTGTACTATAGTCCATGCTTTTTTCTGAAAAATGGCTAAAAAATGACCCTCAATTTTTATTACATTTTCTGATACATATTGATGTCCTTATGCTATGTAGAAAGCTTGAGCTGATTCCGACTTAAATTTTTCAAGTTATAGCCATTTTTAAGAATATGCCAAAATCTGAAAATTACCCTGTACTATAGCCCATGCTTTTTCCTGAAAAATGGCTAAAAAATGACCCCCAATTTTTATTACATTTTCTGATACATATTGATGTCCTTATGCTATGTAGCAAGTTTGAGCTGATTCCGACTTAAATTGTTTGAGTTATGGCCATTTTTAAGAATATGCCAAAATTTGAAAATTACCCTGAATTATACATGTATATAGCCCATTCTATCATATGTGAACAATAAAACTTACCAGCCATTTTTTATACTCAGTAAGTGAAACAGCTACACAGTCTGAAGAAACTCTTAACCTTTCTAACAAATGACTATAAAAAATTAATAAAGACATTACAAGCATGCACAAATAGAGAAATCAAGCAGAAGTGACAATATTTATTTATTTACTAATTACTTGAATAAAAGCAGTTCTTTTTGTCCTTCATACAGTGTTTCTCTTTGCACACACAGTGCCTCCATCAACTGTACACAGTAGCCTCTTATCCATAATACATGTGTCATACTCAATTCCTATTACATAAATCCCTTGACTAATAATAATAAATGTGTGGCTCACTCACTTTTGATGGTGTTGCTAATGCAGAATTGAGTGCGGCAGATCTTAAAACACAACGGAAGAAATACAAGTTGCAGTCATTAATGAGGTGAGTGTCAAGTGCTTCTTTAATAAGAGATGGAGAAGTGAGGGATAGGAGCTGAAGGTTTTGATCTGATAATTCTTCACCTTTTCTATAAGACAAACCTATGAACATAAATAAGCATTATAAAGAGCTGTAATGTATGATTAGAAAACAAATATCATTCACACATGTACATACACATTTATTGCAGTAAAATAACAATGACTGGCAATAATACAGGTACATGTATCTTGAATTTTAGTTAATTTAAAAACACTATTAATCTCACCCATTGACTTCAAGGTCTTAAAAAGATCAGTGAATGCCCTTTTCCTTTTCATAAGTAGAAGCTTAATAGCTGCCTCTCTCTCTTCCTTACTCAACTACAAAAAGGAACAAAGTACATGTTAAAACTAGTTACTATTTACAGAAGTGGCTCAATACAAATGTATATACTGCTGTTATGTGTCACACTTTACTTTTGAAGGAATGTCATTGGATTGCAGTGAGTGATAGTCGCTAATGACAGACCCAGTGAACTCATCCAACTGTTCAGTCCATTGTAAGAGTAACTGGTTCCTCTTATATCTGTTCAATAACTGCCTCAGCCTATTGTAAGCATCAGTGCCACTCAGTGAGGAGTCTCCTTCACTTAATCTTAGAGTAAAATTAAACTAAAAGAAAAAAAGGATTAGTATTAGATTGCATATTATTTTAGCAAACTTAATTAAGTTTTAAAGGAAGAGACAATCCTGAAAAAAGCAGGTGTCCATAGTTATCAAGAATAAAATTTTATAACTCCTCATTAAAGAATATGGAAATAAAATTATGCTATATTATGCAAAGATAACTTCAAAAGAAAGCTGTGAACAGTTGCTAAATAGTAATAGCTCCAACCCACGATTGCCTCAAGTAGATATGTGAGTATAAAAACACAAGGAAAGCCTCCAGCCAATCAAGACTGTACTCACTAGGATAATTTCTGTAGTACATGTCCCACTGCTAGAAAACACTCTAGCAACAACACCAAGCCACGATGAAGAGATGTAGTTTCCTCCTCTGAGCGTGAAGCTGCCATTGGATCTGTCCTTGGTATTACACCAAGGCTGTATCCTTTGCATTGAGGAGCATTCCTTCATTCCTTTGTAAAGGAAAAGGAAGGAGGAGGAAACATCCAGAGTGGCATTAAAATTATTACTAATTTTAAAAATAATGTGAGCATCTAAAATTTTTTGAGCTGCAATGTGCCTCAATTTTCTACCCATTAACCATTGAACATTAAATACACCAACAAACATTATAAATTACCTCTCCATTAAATGTAGTAACTTTCTCATCCCTACTCTTAAGATGTGATACAAAACCTTCAAGCGCAGAATCACCTTCACTAGAATGAGATTTCTCTTTGATGCTACCGGTTGTTAAAACTGGTTTGACTGGTTGTGAGAGAACATCCTAACAATATAGATAATATTAATAATGACACAGACTATTATAATTACTAATATCAGTTACTTTATATTGCTTTATGTGTTTTGAGAGGGTGGCATGACTCCTCTCACTTTGCTGTTTTATGGACCAATAGTTCCCATCTTTCCATCTTAGTATCTTTAAATAATCCTATACACGTCACAATTCATGTACAATAGTAATTGTATCAATATTTACTTTTAGTCCAGTTTCTATTGGTTCAGAGAGCTGGTTAATATTGTCATTGACAGATTCCTCAAATTGAATATAGTACGTGTGTACATTAGATAGTATATGACTCAATGATGAGTTATCTGAAAGAAATAATATATAATTTAAAAAATGTTCTTAACTTAAATGCCAAAGATACTAAAAAATATAATGTAAATATAGCAACAATAAATTGAGTACAACTACATGCAAGTTTACATTTACAAACCTTCTTCCAATTGTAGACCAAAGCTTTCAATCATTCTCAGCCTGTTAGTGTAATCACCAATAGAGCTGGACTCAATGAACGACTGCAACAATGTAACAGCATCAGATTCTGACAGTCTCTCTTCATTTATTAAACCATACAAATAAAACCACCACTTGCAGCTCTGACTAATGAAATCATCTTTGCACATGCTTAGGAGATTAGACCAAGAACTATGGAATGAAGTAAATTTATATCAAAAATACATATTAAAAAGAATTATGATTTACTCACTTAAGTTCTAGTCGTCTCCATTCTAATACAAGTTCAGTGAGAGCTGAGAGCTGAGTGGAGATAGATAGTCTAGAGCAAGCATACCCTTCCCAATCCTATTAATTCAAAAGAGAAGACAATATAAAATTGATTCATAAATTTTATCATTACTTGTGATTTTTTCAAAACATTTTCAAGTCCAGCCAATATCTTCATTAAGGGACTGAGTAGATCAAGAGAAAGAACTTGATCGACGGCAAATAATATCTGGAGAATGAGGGGGAGAGAGAAGAAGGTTAAGAAAACAAAAAAGAAAATGTTCCTAACTTGTTTCAGAAGAGGATAATCAGGTAATTCAACCAGTACTTCCCTGACTCTTTCCTTCAATTTGATCAATACAACACGAGCTCTCCTGGCCTCACTGACCAATGGATCACAATATATTATAAACGACCTATGACCATTAACATAAAAAATGCAAACATGTACATGCTTAACAAAATATACTTAGAAGGCAAAATATTTTAACAGGCTTATTACAGTACAAATATAACCTCACTAATTATTCTAAATGGAAAGTGACTCACTTATTTCTTTGTTCATTGGTAGATACAGCTTTGAGTACAGAGTGAACTGCTCTAGCTTGACCAATGACAAAAGAAGCATCAGACTCTTTTCTTGTGCTAGCATGAACCTGTCCCCTCCACATCTCACTGGCTAGACTAACAGCTGAAAGACTTGGAGTAGATTGAAAAGGAAGAGAAAGTGGGGAAGGTGAGGATAAGGAATAATGGATGCTTTCTTTATAGCAGAGGAGTTCATGTAGCTCCTTTACTAATCTCATTTGAGTTTCGTTCATTTGATACGAAGCAATGCCATCTGATTTCTTGATCTCGGCTGATTCTGAATCAGTGTGGTTGGGTGTTGTAATATCAGTATCAGGGGAAGACAAAAAATAAGAGTCATAGTTTGAAAATAAAGAGTTTATCTCTTTTGTTTCCTGTTCCTCCTCATCAGTGATAGTGCAAGTAATCGGTTTATATTTATAAATACTTTCCTCCTCAATTTGTCTTTGTCTCTCTCTTGCATCAGCCTCTTTCCATAGAAGGTAACAAAAATTAACTACATTAACAAAAATCCCTGAATTTTTGATGCCAATTTTTGATTTAGTTAACAAAGAGAGCGACATTTCCACAGCAACTGTGATTAATCTATGATAAAAATATTTAATAAATGAGTTTTAAATGCAGCAATACTTTAATGAAGTGCTCCAGTCATTATTTCTCTTGTGACAATACTCTAATATTTGTTTAATTCGTTCCTGTTCTCCCAAACCACGAGACTCATTCCAGTACGGGAACCTGACAAGCATACCAACACACCCACTCTAACAGGAATAAACAATGATAATAATAAAAATAAAAGTTTCAATTTACCTGTAGTCTCAATGAATTCCTAGCATCAGCCAAATCCTTTATTCCTTTACAAAGCTACACAATAATAGTAGTACTTAATACGTTATTATTAATAAAATACTATCACTCACTAATGTTAGCCCAGCAATGAAAGGTTGCACTAGATCAATGTATGGAGTGTAGTTCTCTCTCAATCGTTTAATAGCTGAATACATGCTTTCAAGCCAAGCCTCTCTCTCAAAATCACCACTCTCTAGAACTTGGTGAATTTTCCCAGGAAAAACAAGAGTCTGGATTACTCTACTAGCTTCTTCAGTAAGATCACTGTACTGTAAAAATTAAAAATAATATTAAGTGTAAAAATTTTAATTCATATAAATGCTAGAAAAATAAATAATCAAAAATGGAGACTATCTTACTCTTTCTGTATGAAATCTTTTGAGAATATTTTGCCTCTTATTAAGTTCTGTAGTCCAATGACTGGCAGAATTCATTTTAGAAGACACATACTGATGAGGAGTGGACTGGGACTGATGGATATAGAGCTGGTCCTGTACACCATGGGCTACAGCATTCATGTAAGATTGAAATGATTCTATAAATGAATTATTCATAGTGACCTATAACAGAAAAGGATAGATATTAAATGGTAAAATACATAGCCAGTACTTACTAGTAGTTCCAGGTATTCGTTAGTGCTATTATCCATTACTAGTGGATCAACTGCTGATACTGGAGCTAATAAATGAACCAGACCTTCACCAATAGCTACTCTAGCAGTCTCTACTGCTTCTCTTGTCCCTCTACCACCAGATTCTAAAGCTACTGATGCTGATGATAATGAAGTAAAAAAGTGGCTCCAAGCAACTCCAGAGATTTCATTCCTCTCCAATAATGAGAGAAAGAGTTCTGACACAGCTGTAGCTCTATTAGTTAGGCTGTGAGTTGTGTCACTAAGCACTGTATTGATATCAAACTGATCCTTAATGACTGACTGAAGGGATAGGAGTATCCTATTCAACACATCTTTAAGCACTTGAATCTCTTGTTCACTATTAAAAAAAGAGAAAAAATAATATCATTAATCAAAATTACTCTGCCACTGTAAATTCATGCTCTTGCTAACCATTTTGTGCTCTGAGATTTTTCAGTGAAACACTTCATAAACAGAAATTGCAGTAATACATGCAATTCAGAGCATTTCTTATCAAAATTCTGAACAGTGATTGAAGTGCTAGACCCATCACCAGGAAACTCCTCATCATTAGAAGAGAGGAGAGAGAAGGTTAGATCCGATAATGACTCGCTCACAATAAAGGAAGAAGATAATGAAAGGTTTGTGTCAGTAGAAAGCAGCTCTAACCATTCAGTAAAATTCTACCAAAAGTGAAAGTGACATTAATAATTGATTTAGATTTAATCAAACCAGTTTAATTAATACAATATATAAGGGACAAGTACCACTAAGTATACCTTTGCTTCATTAGTGGCATCAGGGATACATAGGAGTGAATGCAGTGACCACTGTGGTACCCGAAGACAATATCTTATGAATGACCTTTTCTTCTCTGCTAATGACTCAGCATCATAGCTGGTAGAGACTGCCAGAAATAGATCAGGTATTGCATTTAAAGCCAGTCTCACAACATCAGGAACAAGACTAGAAGAAGGTTGACTGTTAGGTATACTAGTCAAAAGTTCCTCTAATTTCAAGCAAGCTTCTTTATCTTGTTCTTCATTATTGCTACCACTGCAATGATACTCTGTCATTAGCTGGAGGATAGAGCTACGATTAGTAGTATCATCAAGGATATGAAGAGGAGGAGATGATGAATGTTGTTTATTGGTAGCAGATAAAAGAAGATCCTACATGTATAAAATACAATTAAAATAATCACTAAATGCATGCATGTGAGTATGTGTGTACTAAAACATGGGGATAAAAATTTAATTCTATGCTTGATGATATCAAAAATTAAGATGAGCAGCTATCACTTTCACCATTTCTTTCTTCTCTTCCTCTTACCATCAAATTAATTTGCATGAGTGAAGCAGGAGGTAATGGTGAACCTAGTCCTTTCCTAAACAACTGAATACAATGAGCATCTACTGAATTTAACTGATCCAATACAGCACAAGACTCAAGAAGACTGGCAACACTAAGAGAAATAAATACTTCTCTACTTTATATGAAATATTATCATACTTGTTGCTTGGTTCATATTCTGCAAAGGTGATTTTCTTTAGTAGCGACCAGCTAACAGCAAGCTTTGGGACAGACCAGTCAGGAGTGTGACAAGTGAATACGAATAACCTCAAGCAATCAATAGCTCTATCTGACTATAGGGAGGAGGTGAATCATGTAAAATGAATCATTACAGATTAATTTTTTACCAGTATTTTATCACTAGATCTACATTGTAATTCAGTCAAAAACGTATCTAAAAACTCTTTTAGCTTTATTATAGTCTTCCGATCAATCACAGACCCACCTGATTGACATAAAACAAGTCAATGAAAAATACTCAAAAATATTAGTATTTACTTGATACTGAGCTCCTGTTAACTGATTGAAATAGACTAGGGGCAGTAGACCATTCATTGTTCATGCAAATACTCAATCTTTTATGAGTATAATACAATAACTTGGAATCAACAACGCCATCAAAACTACAATAAAATAATTAATATAATATCTAAATTTTATTATTTTAATTAAAAGCTCACTAATCTGTTTCTTTATTTGGTTGTACTCCATGTAGTGCCTCATTAATTTTATAATTAAAATGAGACTGATAGTCTTTACCTAAATATAGTAACACAATAATCATTACATCACCGTAATTCGTTACCTAATATAAACATTAAATGTAATGAGATTCTTCTAGTTGCACTCTTAAAGTCGTCATCGGAAAGTACATCTGCTGTTGCCATGACAACACACTGAAGTAAAGGGGTGTGGCTAATATTATCAGCCAATTTAATGAGAGCATTGTAACGTGGCAGTACATCAGACGCTGACGACAAATCAATGAATAGCCTTAAATGAGCTTGCAATGATAATAAATCCTAAAAATAAAAGTTGATTGATTTACAATAATTTGATAGATAGGCTACATTGATTATGCAGGCACAGATTAAAATTACTAATATACTAACATTATATATAGACTTACATTAATGGTGGTATGTCTTGTATTAAGAGAATTAATGAATTGTATGAGGATGTAGTGAAGATCTCTTTTAACCAGTGCAGTGACTGGATCAGACATGAGGGACTTAACACTCATTGAGTAAGAGAGTGAAGATAAATCACAGTGAAGAGATTCAATATCCTATGATAAGAGAAGTAATAAGTTAATAAGAAGAAAGCATAAAAGAGGGAAAGAGAGGGAGAAAAAGTAAAAGACATTTAAGGAGATAAAACCTTTGGTAATATTGAGATTTCTATTCCTCTGTTCCTCATTGCTCTTGATATTTCACCATGGACAGGATCCATTGTCAAAAACAACCTATAAAAAACAATATAAAAGTAAGCACAGGCATCAATGACTCTTAGTGTCTCTTACCTAAAGTCTTTATGTGGTTTAACAGTTGGTACAGTGCCATCAATGACTCCTCTCTCATCAATAGACAATGCTCCATTAGGCTCCAGTAATGGATTCAATCTATCCAACACTGATGGGCTGAAAAATAAATAAAAAGCAGTAAATACATTTTTCAAGTTGCTTAAGATTAGTAATGGCAACAAAATTTAAATGTCATAATAATAATATTAAAAATTTTTGTAATAGTAATTTAATGTACATAGCTTGGTCCTATCCTTACCTGCAGAAGTTAGCTTGAGTAACAAGTAGCCAGTATCCATGAGTGAGAGCTGTTATCAGTATACTATTGACCCACTCAAACTGACCTGAGGTAGACCCACCACACACTTTAACACACAAACTATCACAAGAACACAATAAGTCTTGAAAATCTAGAGAGAAGAAAGAATTTAGTATAATTACTATATACAATGTACCTGAGAATAATTCAGACTCATTTTGCAAGGAAGATGAAACAATATTTAAAGTTGATTCCACTACTTCTTTCAATTCTAGGCATCTTTCCTTCAAAACGCTTCCTTCTAAAATGATATGATAATTAAAAATACACATAAAATACAACCCATACAATAAGGACTTTGTGTACAACTAGTTTACCTTTATTATTAATTAATGTTAATGAGCTCCTTAATTCATCTATTTGTAGATTATAATTTCCTTTATTTATGGTCCTCAAACATGTCAACAAGTAGTCACACCTACTCACCAAATTACTCAACTCCCTCTCATAATTGACCTAAGATAAAATAAACATACGTGTACCTCATATACAGGTTTTTTGAATTAGTGCTTATGCAGCTTCATCATGTTACTGGATTGTGAAAGTAGCTCAAATGTGGGCAAAAGGCCTTTGGTCAAATTTCGCCAAAAATGGTAAGGAGAGATTTGTCAATTTTCATAATTTTATCTGATGCATATACATGTTCTTATGTTGTGTAGAAAATTTGAGATGATTCCAATCAAAATTAGATTTTTTATGAATTTTTAAAGTTGTTCCAAATGCCACCTATTTTTTCATACATGTACCTGCTCAAATCCTCCCATGAGTTCACTAGTGTCTGTGCTAGTGTTCATGTGATACTCTAACAGCTTATGTCCAGTTAATGTGGAGAGTATACGAACGAGTGAGCTCTTGCCACTACCTCCTTCACCAACCTAAAAGTAAAAAGACACAATCTCTTAGTTTTTACACAATTTATATTAATTCCCTATATATTCTTATCGCCCATTTCCTTCTATCTTTAATTTTAAAATATATAGATACATTTCTTACATACATTGTACATGTATCTCTCCTTTTGTCTCCATCATTCCCTCATCTATCTTATCTACCTCAATCCCCCAGTCTTAAAGCATAATACAATATCAGTTACTCAGTCACTGACTAGTATTGTCATCCAGTTCATTGTAGTGTTCCTAAGCAGGACGTCTAGTAGGTGGGTTTGGGATGGGAGTATTTTCAAATGCTCAGAAATATCATCGTAACGATAGTAACCTCTTTTAGCTAATGTACCTCCAATCTAAAACAAAAGAAATCACAATCAAATATTTCTCTCTGTCTTTCTTACTTGTAGAACATCATCTGATAAGTGTAATAGTCCACCTGGTGCTATACTCTCTTCATTAAAACACTCCACATACAAGCCTTCAACCTATAATCAATAAAACAATCTATTAATAGCTCACAATATCAATATGTAATTACTATTGTTACTAAATATAGTACAAAAAGTTAAAAATAGCATATACTTTATTTCTCATTTCCTTATTCCTCAGACGGTAAGTATACAATAGTCTCATAGATTCAGCAGGTGAAGAATGAATTGGTTGGTTCTTATTAATGACTTCACTCCATCTCAGTATGTCACGTAAATTAAACTCCCACAATGAGCTGGGCCCACAGTACTCATGTACCTAGTAAAAATTTTAAAATTTAAAAAATAATTAAAAATTGTTAAAATCTTAATTATTGTGCATGCATTCTAAAAATACACATACATGTACATGAAATAGAATTTATTATTACATTGTACCTTATTATTGAATCTGACCATTCTTTGTACAGTCTCTTTATCCATATCAGGATAAATTGAACAAGTGATGAAAACTAGATCACTATCAGACATTGGCTCCAAATAAACCTATTGCCATGGTAAAAAGGTCACATGACAATACCCAATAGTGTATACCTGAGTGAAGCGATTAACGAAGGACAGTGGGAGTCCCTTCCTCCCTCCACCCTGTGTGACAGGGTTCTGACAGGCAAAGAGACGAGTGCAACAAGGAACATGGAATGTCTTTGAAAGCTCAGGAATATACAACTATCAATTATTATTATTATTATCATAAATTAGTATTAGAAATTTAACTAACTTCTCCTCTGTGGTCCAGGACAGCGTTGAGTCCTTCTAGTACAGACTGTGAAGCAAGGTTCATCTGTAATAATGCACATATAAATTGTCATGCTAGTGTTATGCATAAAGGTCACAATTAAGATGGTAATGGCTACTTATTTTGTGATTATTAGTTATTGTTTTATTAAACGTTAAACTATTAGCTGCAACTACTTGTGATAATGTTCACAATCAATAAAAAATAAATAGTTAATACACTATAATTCTGTCATTGCCTGTGTCACAAATATAAAGACGACCATCTTTATCAAACGTTATTCCACCCTCTATGTCTTTAAACTGATTTTCACCAGTGCCTTTCTCTCCAAAACTACGAACAAAATCACCATCACTAGTGAAGATTGAGACACAATTTTTGCCATATTCACTAACATATACTAACCCAGCATTGTCTACTGCAATACCTGATGGCCTATTTAGCTGACCAGCATTGCTTCCAAATTTAGTCAAGTATTTGCCATCATGAGTAAATTTTTGAATACGATGATTCCAATCAGTAACATACACAAAACCTTCATTGTCAATAGCAACATCATGAGGAGTATTAAATTCTCCATTGCCTGCTCCTTTTTTACCAAACAAACCAAAAAATGTTAAATCACAATTAAAAATTTGAATCCGATGATTGCTTGTATCAGCAATATAAACTAATTTTTTTGCACGTGAAATAGCAATGCCTCGAGGATAGTTCAACTGCATGGGCCCACAGCCAGCACATCCAAATGAAGTAACATACTGACCATCCATGCTTATTCTCTGTATCCTGTGATTGTTATAATCAGCAACAATAATACAGCAATCATCAGTAATGGCTATTCCATAGCTACCATTAAATATAATATTATTAATTTCATTACCAAATGACAATTTCCCTTCATTGCCTAGTATACTAACAACACTAGCACTATATTCTGATACTATAACACGACCATCATCACTTACAGCAACACCACAGGGTCTTTGAACATCACCTATTGTACGAATGGGAGTAATAACTTGCTCAATGTAAGGATTGAATGGTATCGTAAATGAAGAAGGTGTCTTCAATTGAATGCCAAGAGCTTTTATGCAAACTTGATGACGTCCTCTAATAACAGGAGTGCATATAACCTGGTATACTCTTGGTTTATCAGTAGGGATCACTCTAGCATCAATAACTTGAGAATGCTTGGTAGTAGTATTAGCACTAGCAGGCTCAATACTGAGTGAAATAGAAGAGGCTGGTAGATCTAAATGCAATTCATGGTTAGGTAATTCTATTGATAGCTCAAACGATATTGCTCTTTCTTCTGGCATATGCTTAATGGTGGCTATCTCCTTTACTTTACACTCTTCCAGTCCAGCACGAGATACTACACTACCAACATGATGACTGATGGATTCCTTGCTGCCAATAAATTGTATATCAGCTTTCTCTACTGGTTCTAACTCTTTTATCTCGTGTGAGGTATTGAGACTCTCTTTCTTCTGCTTCTCAAGCATTTGTAGCTTTCTATCTATAATCTCATCAACTTCGCTAATAAACTTATCTTCAAGACTGCTCGTTAGACTTTTGAGGAAAGATCTTATCTCTTCTTTTACTGCTTCTCCTTGCTCTCTTATCTCAGCCTCTCTTCCACTGATGGCAGATAGAATAGGACTAACATGTGAAGTTACTTTTTCCTCAGCTTCTTCCTCGATCATTGATTCAGTAGGTGCCTTCAATGCTTCTTCTAGCCCCAGAATAGCATGTGTAGCAAACTCAGACCATTTTTTGTGTGCGTCAATACAATCATTGCAGAGAGTTTTATTGCAATCTTTACAATAACTTGCTGCACTTGCAATGAAGCAGTTACCACAGTGTATCCCTTCAGACTCCTTCATGCTATCGTAAACATCTCTTAACTCGTTTAGTTTGGGCGTGACAGAGAATTTAGATTCAACCTCATCAAGACTGCTCAGCTCAATCGGTTCAGCATCACAGGAAGGACACTGCACAGAATACAAAACCTTCTGTACTTCTCTGACTTCTATACAGTTCTGGCAGAATGAATGATGACAAGGAAGGATCCTAGGACTAGTGTAGAGGCCATGACACTTGGCACAGGTTAACTGCTCCTTGAGTTTAAGAAGAAAGGGATTTGTCTTTAATGCCATGAGTATAAAGCAACTGATAAAGCAAGATATAGAAATAGGAAAAACTGCTTCAGGATTCACACCTTCTATGTAATAGCCCACACCCAATGGGAATTACTATGAATATCAACATATACTGTATCAGGGCTGAAGTTATTACTATAATAGGAATGTTTTGACAATTATAGTCTCTAGTCCTAATAGTCAGTGCCAACTTAATTAGTTAAAATAGCTATCAATCACTGTACATGTACATGTTTAAAAATCTCTCCTCTTCTTCAATGATTTACCTAGGTTACTCTATTTTTATACGACCATAACCCTCTCACTCTCTCTCCCTAACTTCATCCAGTAGTATCCATTCTCCGGATCTCAATGCTTTTAGAAAAGGTCCGTCCCTCCACTCAAACTTGATGCCATTGATACCTTCAACTGGGAGATCAGAACCAAACAAATCACTAACATCCTTTAAAATAGAGACCAGTAATATCAAAAACCAAGTCGTACGTGTGTCTTACAGTATGTTCTGAGAGATTAATCCTAGTGATTGAGTGACCAGAAGCAGCTGCTAAAGCTGATACTAGACTGGTCTTACCAACCCCTGGAGCTCCTTCGAGCATTATTGGTCTCTTTAGTTGTAATCCTCTCAGCAATCGATACAAATTATTACACGGGCCATTAGCATTGAAACAATACTGGTCACTGTCCTTAATATTCAATGAGCCTACACATACATTAAATTAATATTTTATAATGCAAATAGTAATCAATATTATAATTACAAAAAATTCAAATTCACCTGATTCAATGAGAAATGGGGCTATACCGAAAGTTCCTTCCCTCTTCACTATCTCTTGGTTCATAGCATTATTGCTATTAGTTTCATTCGCTAGTTCTTGTAAGTAGTTTATACATGCATCTCTTAGTCCGATCTGTTCACATGATCCACCACAACCTAGCGAGTCTATGAATATCATTATAGCTCCGTTGATGAAGGCAGAAGAAGGTGAAAGGGGAGGGGCAACTTTGTTCATAAACTCCACCCACAATAACACGTCCCTCACTGTTACAGTAAATCTATTGTATGTACGAGAAAAACATTACCACTTAAAACATGTGACAAAAATTTAAACATTTTAATTAACTCATGACATTTATTTTAGGGTTATAATTAATAACCCATTCAAAAATTGTAAAAAAGACTAAAACTGAACTGCAAGAAGCTATATTCAGCAGAGGACTATATGCAGTGTTTTTTGTAAAATCTATCATGGGTTGGATGATTGTGGTTATAACTTATGTACTTGTATAAACTGTAATTACATGTACATGTACAATGTACTATAGAAATTTATTTTTGCTTATTGTCAAATACATGATCATTTCAATTACATATCCAAATATGGAATTAAAAAAAATAATAATAATGAACAGCTTCATAATATATTTTTAACATATATTTTATACCTTGAGGATATTATTTGAGTTTTGAGCCATTTCATAAAATCAACCATAAGTCTACTCCAAGGGGGCCCACCTAAATCCAATCAGATATGGTCAATTATATTATTATTACTATTATTATGACTAC